GTGTTAGCATGCTAATGCTAGCGATCTTTATTATGCTGGTATCTTCACACTGCATGTAAATTTACCTGAAATGAGCGTGATCTAGAAACACAGTTAAGCAGTGAGTACAGTATGTTATTCTTCTTTTCTCTAGTCCCTCAATTAAACAACTTTTATATGCGAGGGGAGGAGTCAGCCGGCCGTCCCGGCGATGTAAACAAACTGAAGATAGGACTCTGAAAACTCTGAAAACATCACAGACAGTGGGACTCGGGTGTTACACCCATTGTAGACAGTCATGACTCACAGAGTTATTTTCAGAGGAGATACTTGATTTCTACATTTGAGTGTGTCAAATTTAGGGTTTAGTTCCTTTAAGGCCCTGCGTCCACAGCTCGGGAGTGTTTGCATGAAGTGTTTGTGCGCTGAGAAGAAAAGCGCTAAACGTCCGTCCTGTCTCCATGACAACAGTCGGTTGACCACGGCCGCTGTATGACCGACACTGCGCCGTTACTTTTTACTGCACGTTTTATATTTGAGAACGTTTATTTCCCGATGAGACAGATTTTCAACTTGAGCGCTCGGAGCGGCTGCACAGAAAGGGCTGAGCACTCGGAATAAAAGACGCTGGGCCGCCGCTTTCTGCGGAGAACGCACTCCCCTCATTGAAAACAACAGAAAAAAGACGCTCTGTGGACCTAACTTTGAGTGAAGCGGCGTCGCTTTTTCACCCGAGGTCACATTTATAACGTCTCAAACTTCCTTTGAAACGATCGGAAACACAGAATGAACAATAACGTGGAGCTATGATTAAACCTTTGTGGATTCATTCTGATAAGCCGTGTTTTTTCAAATGTCTTCCTTCCTTGCAGCGAGGACAACGTTCCCGACCCGTCCGTGGTGCAGAAGCAGTTTGGCGGCTCTCTGGTGGCGGCCCTCCAGGTTTACGGTCCAGAGTTTCTCGCCTACTTCGGCTCCTTCGCCACCGTCGGCCTTCTCTGGTTCGTGCACCACTCGCTCTTCCTCCACGTTACCAAGACGACGCGCTTCATGGGCCTGCTGAACACCTTCTCGCTGGCGTTCGTCGGAGGCTTGCCTCTGGCCTACCAGCTGACGCACGAGTTCCCCAACAACTCCCGGAACGAGCTGGAAGCCATCCAGATCAGCTGTGTCATCATTTTCTTTGCAGGGATTTTCCAGCTGGCGATCTGGGTGGTGGCGCTCTATAACGAACAGGAAACACTGCACCCGTACGTACGCTACGGAGGGCGCGAGCACGTCTTCATGCTTGCTAAGCTAGGTCTGTACCCGTGTGTAGCCTTAGGGACGTTCTTCCTCACCTGTTTCCTGAGTAAATTTAGCGCTCCGATCTTCCACCTGATGGAGATCACCGTGCCTTTCGCTTTCCTCGCGCTCAGGCTGCTGGTGCGTGCCGGGTTAGCTCTGATACGGCTGTTTTTCTGTCCCGACGGGGCAGACCAGAGATCTGTTGTTATAGAGGACGAAGACGAGACAAGAGTGCCATTTAACGCTTTAGTGACTTAGCTTTGAGAGGAGAGTGGAGAGAAAGTCAAGTTAGCACAGAGCAGGGAGCTGCAGCTAAAGGAAGAGATGGGCTCTCTTCTTTTAAGCTGGTTCAAACTCTGAGAAAGAATCAAATGGGATTAAAGAGACGTGTCTTATTTTGAAAGGGAAGGCAGGAAGTGGACCAGAGAAGTGAAGGACACCGACGGCCAAAAGTCCATCCTTTCATTTCATGTTTTCACTCGAATACTTTAAGCTGCTTCTTGTGATGAGCGAATAATCAACAATCGTCTTCTTTGTGTTCTGATTTATTTTACTTTCATTTCTTAAAGTCACGCGTTTGAAAAAGTGGCTTTAAACGGTGGACGACTAAACGCCGATTAAACTTCAAACCTTACTCTGACAGATTCAGAAGAAGCGCTAACAGGTACAGGTGTGATGACACTCCGTCCGACGGTTACGATTTTAATCCAGCCGTTTATTCATGTTTTGTTTTTTTTTGACCTGGAGAAGTTGAACATGTTCACAAGGTTTCATCCATCTGAGCAGATCAGCATCAGAGAGTAAGTTACTACAAGTAACACATTGGACATGTGGCTGCAGGAGCTGGGGTTCGAACCCCCTGCCCAACTGAGCCACAGCCGCCCCTACCAGCTAATGTTAGCCTCTTTGTGATTATAACTCCAAATTCGGCCTCATTTCCTTCTGGGTTTTCATTTTTTAAAAAGCATTGTATTTCATCTGCTGATGAATCTAAAGCTGCACTCACAGTAGGAAATCTGTACGGTGCCTAAACACGCTTCACCCCGAAGTCCAGTTTGTGTGACGAGTGCGAGTGCTCCACGCTACACTTCCTTGGCCCTGGCTCGCTTTGAAGAGGTGTGCTTCTGCACGGGACAAAACATAGAGGGGCAATCATGCTTAAGCACGGTACGGGACAACCAGGCGGAGTGTGGGTGCGCCCTAACAGACCCAAATCTCTGCATATATCGTTCCTAAAACATCCCATTGTGTCTGAGCGAACGTGTCAAACTCTTTAAAGGGATACTTCACCATGAAACATGACTCTCTGTTGACATTGGGTCATATATGTAGAAATGTGAAATACATTTTGAAGTTGGTGCCTTCTTGGCTGAGAAAAGGCAGAAAGTGTCTTTTTGGCTCATGTGGATGAAAGACACCAAATCCCAGAATGCACAGCACCGCAGGCCACTCCCACTAAGGTCAGGTTTACAGACATATTTACTTCAACACATACGGCCGTTTCCTCAACTGATTCAGAGATTTCTTCCAGAAATGATCTTGTAAATTCCTGAAAAAGAAAACAGACTCTGTGTCTGAGTCCAGAGACAAACAGTGAGAGCACCGACTCTACCAGTCCACCCCAGCTCCTCATCCTCACCGCTGCCGACAGGCAGGCTGTCTCAGCTGCTGGGGGCGGCCGGCAATATAGCTGCAAGACGGTTGCTGCCGGCAGGCTGGGTTTGTTTCTCGGCTGCTGCGGCCAGCGGTGGTCCCGGCGGCCACCAGCGGCAGCAGCCAAGACACAAGACCCGCCTGTCGGCAGCAACCGTCTCGCTGCTATATTTATATTTTTTGGCCATTATCAGCTTTCTCCATAGAGCCTGTTAGCATAGCTTCCAAGCAATATGGCGGACGTTAAGTTTCAATTCTGGGAGTGAGTTCCCACCCACTGATCTGTGATTGGTCTGTAGCTTCAGTGGTCGCAAATATGAGGAACTAGTGTTGTAGTTTCACCCCGCTAACCACAACAGTGACACAAAAATCGTGATTTTGCGTCACTGGAAGCTCCTTATCAGACTCAGAAATACAAAGATTTCACATCTCAGGGGAAAATGAGGGCGGGATGCACGACCATTCAAAAACACTACCAGGTTTCTAATGATGCAAAGATTAATGCTAATGGGTGAAGTGTCCCTTTAAAATAAGGTCGTCCTGTCTGCAGACACGCTCTGAACAGTTCATCCACAAACCTTAAATTTGCACTATTTCAAATGTTATGATGAAGAATATTTTTTGTTTTGTGCACTGGAATGAGAAACTTTAACTGCACTGTATCTCAATGACCTGTTTCTCTTCACGGCTGCAGGACTATCAGGTGTACCACGTCTGTCCGGAAGGGGGCGCTGTTGTTTGTGTTTAAAAGGTCCTGCAGCTGTTTCCGTCCCCATCATTGAGGCAGTGAACTTTCATGTGTTTGTTTTTATACCGACTCTGAGGAAAGTCGGTCCCGAGATGCACTTTAACAGAAACCTGTCAGGTGTCTGAAGACGGAGAAGGCTCTGAATGTGGGATGAATCCAGAAATCAGCTGCTCTCAGATCCAAGCGTGGTCGTTATGTTTGTTTTTGTGTCACTCCTTCAGAACGGCCAACAAGGTTTCTCTTGATGCTCGTGATCGTTTGCAGGCTGCCGTTTTTCTTTCCCGCTGTGCAGTAATCGTTCTGTTTCAACCTGCTGAGCTGTTTGTGAATAAATCTGAAGTTCAACGTTAAGCCGAGTGATCCGTGTGTTTATTTAAGGGGACATATTCTGAGAAATCCACTTCTTCAGTGTTTCTGAACATATATTTGAGTAACCTGAGAGTCTACTGACCCACAACATGTGAAATAAACCATCCAGCCCTTTGTTTGTGGTCTGCATAAGTCTTACAACACAGAGAAAAATGCTCTGTATACAATGTGTTCTCCTTGTGATGTCACAGTGGGATTCTGGTTAAAAAAAAAAAAAAAAATCCCCTCCCCTCTCCACCCATGGACCCCCAGACTGGAGCAAAACTTTTGCGCAGGTCCTCCATTTTTATTCTCCCTACAGAGGAGTGATGTCTACGGGGACCACAGGGGACTGTTTGAAAAGGTGGAGGAGGGGGATCATATATCCTCTATAAAGAAAGGACAGGAAACAAAGATGTGACACGTTGTAGAGAAAACCGACTTTATTCATCTCGGTTACAGTATCCCTAACCCCCCCCCTACCCCGTCAACGTGGATCGCCCCGATATATTAACAGCCTCTTTATTATATATTATATATATATATATTATCCACTCCAAAAGCTACACATCTCCATTAGAAAACATTTCAGCTCAAAGAAAAAAATCACACAAAATATTCACAAGAAGACAAATAAAAAAAAAAAAACATCCTCAGTGCATCGTTATCTGACAGCTCCTAAATGAGCCACTTCCTGTTTCTACCTTAAAGTCTGTGAACCTGTGAGGGTTATATAGAAATGATATATAAATATATATTAATGAATCCACACCAGCAGGTCAAATTTAAAGTAGGACTGTGACGCTGAGAGTCTGGAGCGTGCCGACAGAATCAAACATTTGTTGAAGCAGGAAGCGAAGTTTCTTCTTGATGCTTTTTATAAAATAAATAAATCTCTCTTTGATCTGTTTGTGTCTTCTGATGAAACTGGACTCAGTAATTAAGTTCATGAATCAGCAGATATGACACGTTCATAATCTTTTAGTTTCTCGAGTCGTTAATTCCTGATTTATAAATTCACTGATTTCAGCAAACTCAGAAGTTTTTAATGAACTGAAACATTTTAATTGAAGGGAAAATATGCAGGTTTGTTTGTGTGACGAGGACGGACCGCCAGAGGGGAAATGAGCCGGAGAATAAAATTAAAATTTGATGTGAGCAGGGGCATGTCCAGAGGGACGGCACGGGCCCCCCTTTAAATCTTATTGGCCACCCCAGAATACTTAAAGGGTTAATATGAAGAATTTTCACATTAAAATATCTAAATGAATTAAAAATGGTCTAAAAATATTTTATATTGTTAAGTTCTTACATTACCTAGAGTATTTCCAACAGTTATCAAAGCCATAGAAATCCGTTATTTTAGAGTTTTCAGACGGAAACGACATTTTTACCGTTGCCGTGGAAACACTGGGTGTTACGTCTAAAACCGCAGGAAAGACGGTTTTCTGATTAATTCTCTAATTATCAGAGCGTGTTTAATATTTCAGGTCGCACACACTCCAGACTCTGGGTCATAATTCCACCGTCTGCGGTCCATGCTGATTGTTGGTGGCATTCAGTCATCTGAATGTGATCTTATTTTGAAAGGTCGAAGAGAGAAAAACTCTGTAAAGCAGGTTTATACAGTACGATACAGCTGGTCCCAAAAAAACATCCACCCAGCACCGCTTTTCTTTGTAAAACGCCAAAATGCACAAAAACAAAAACCGGACGAACAAATTCAAACGCCGTCTGCGTCCGCCTGAAGGAAGAGAACAGAATTTTTAAAAAAAAGGGGGACACACATTGCACAGGCCGCCAAAGTTAAAGTCCTTGCGTCGCTCCGCAGCTCAGATCCAAACTCTGCTCGAGTCGTCCGTCAGGAGAGCGGAGACGAGAGTTTGGATCGGTGAGCGTCAGAGCGTCTCTTAAATAGAAATAAATCAGTGTTAATCAGACAGTGCTTTGGTAAACAGTTCAGAGAATCAGCCTCGTCCTGACGCTTCCACTTCCTCACTCATCAACCATGAATATAACAGTCTACCCCCCCCCCCTTCTTGCATAAGATCAAATATTGCTGATAAAACATCGGCCCAGAGGATCACGGTCTATAAACTCAGATCTCATCAGTGAGAACTTCCTGCGGCACCAACTACATTCAAACTGATTTAATGCAGACGAAGATTTAAACATCGAGTGCGAGGACGGAGGAAGGTCAACACGTTCGGTTTCTCCATCAGAGAGTCAGAAGAAGAAGAAGAAGAACCTCACGCTCGGGTCCACTGAGTGCGGAGGCTATTAGCCTAGCTTAGCATAAAGAGTGAAAGCAGAGACCACATCTTGTCTTTCTTCGTCTTAAACCGGTGTCAGACCACACATCCTCACGTTGACACCAGACACACGGCGTAAATGTAAAACTAAATGTTTCAGTACTTTTTGACATCACGATAAGTAACGGACGCCATCCGTCTGCTAAGACAGGAGCTCTGGTGAGGCAGACTCCTCACCAGCGCCTATTGTTGCTATGGTTACTAATATTTACTTTAATTCAAAGAAATATCACCATGAAGATGATGTAAAGGAGTCGTGACGTCAGCAGCAGCTCGACACATGGAAACTGTTCCCTCCAAAAAGACGAGACAGATGAGCGTCTCCTCCGCCATTGCTGTTAAAGTGGATTTTGTAAGTCCCGCCTTGTCTGGATTCTGATTGGTCGGTGAGCTAGAAGTGACATTGAGGAGTGCTGCGCTCTTCTAAAAGTTAAACTGTTTTCAACTGTGAGCGCAGTAACAGCTGACACAGAGGAAGGTTTAAATGCTGACCTTCATTGATTTGTTTTGAAAACGGGCGCCATCTGTGGACACGCGCCCTCGGGCGTTTCCCATGTTTTGGTGAAATTTACAGAATGTGCAGGAGTTTGCCTACGACTTCTTTCTTTGCTGCTGTCATATCGAAACAGGTTTCTTTTGATTCAAGCTGCTACCATGGCGACTCGACCAGGTTGAACATTGTGTTTTCATTTCGAGGCATAATCTCCTAAATCCATGTTTCCTGCTTTCAGTCTCTCCGCTGCTTATTCTCCGGCTCCACACTAAACACACCGCACGGCTTCGGCTCTTCTTATCTGAAACTCTCAGACCGTCTTCCAAACGTTGACCTCCTCCTCTCAAACCTCGACGTTATGCTCACCCAGCACCCCCTCGAAAAAGCAGCGACCTCATATCAAAGCTACGTCTACAAGTTAAAAATCTAAAGTCTTCATGCTAAAGGCTACGGATGAGTTACTCCTCTTTTCTTTTTTTCTTTTTTTTTTGCATATCATTTCTGAAAGCTTCAAAGTGTTTTTCTCTGCAGCAGGTCACGTAAGTAGTTTAGAGTATGTAATAGTATTTGTTCAGATAAATATTTCCAGTATATTTATGTACACGACATGAAGTTGAAGTGTTGACGCTCTAGTTTCTGCGTTAGCATGCCTACAGTCAAACTCTGGAAATTGTGTGACTCTCTTTTTTTTTTCTTTTTTTTTAGATTCAGACAGAAAACTAAAAGCTAAAAAGTTCACACTGTGGAAGAAGAAGAAACATGGCTTGGGTTAGCAGGACTTGCGTACATGCTACATGTTTTGTTACGCTGTGAGGTTAGCTTACATAGAGTCTATAAAACAGAGTCTACAGTATGCCGCCGCCGCCGCGTCTTCACTTCACTCACACAAAGACGAGTCATCAGTCTGTTCGCTGCAGCTCAGGTCCGCCCGCCCCACACTTTGGGCCCCCAGGTTTTGCTGGTAAAAGCTTCTGAATTTCTTTGTTCAGCTAGAGTCAGTGCAATATCTGCGTCCACATGGAAGCTGCACACCCCCCCATGTGTGTGTGCAGAGAGCGCCATGTGCATAGAGTCTGTTTGTTCCATTAATCTGCAGTCTGTGTTTTTTTAGGATGAGGACCTCAGCGTGTTTGTGTGCTGCTCCAAGTGGAAGCAACAAAGCCTCCCTTGTTTTTCTTGTTGTGTAAATGTGTTTTTTTTAGGTCATTCCACGTAGTGTGAAGAGTCGCCTCGGGTTCAGGGTCGAGGTTTGGAGCTGGTTGGAAGTTGAATGAAGAGCCGGCAGGACGAAGAAGGAAGCTCTGCGAGTTGCTTTGGATCACACACCAAATAGCCATACTAATGAGTGTGTGTTTGTGTCTGTGTGTGTTATGTGTGTGCATGCTTACACAAACTCTCCAAACCCTCACACACACACTTGTGTCGTCCCTCCTGTGCAGCCGGCCGTGTTTCACTCGGCCGGGGCGGCGGCGGGCGGCAGCATGCCTCGCTCTCTCAGGTGTGAGTTGAGTGTGTGGAAGATGCCGAGCTGCTGGTCAGGCCGAAGCATCAACAGCTGCTGCAGCACTTTGCTCGGGTTCGGTCCCCTGAAACACAAAAAACAAACATATGAGCAGAGAAAAAACAAAAGAGGAAAGAGAAAAATCCTCAATCAGGAGCGAGCTACCTCGCCGTACAAGAAACACCAACTATTAGAAAACATGTTGATCTCTCGCTCTGCATGGGTCTGTAAACCTTTCTGTGTTCTAACCTCTCTCCATTTTTCAAAAGCATCTCCAATATTGATCCTAGTTTGAGCACGTTTCTGCTCGTGGAGCTTTTAGAAACATGCAGAGGCTTTTTAGGTCGGGTACAATCACTTCTATCTGAACCACTTCTCTTGACCGCTTCCATCGCTGCAACACCTGTTGACCTGATAACTGCTCTCATATCTGACAAACCGAGGGGCGTCTACCTTCTCTGGTCCAAACAAATCCAGAGCATTCAGGAGCAGAATCTAAAGTTAGAAGGAGGACATACTGGCTGCTGCATTGTTGTCAGAGAAGCCAGCACTTCAACATAGCATGTTTCCCTAATGTCAGATGATTTCCCGCTCAGACACACGTCCTTCATGTTCTCACCTGATGAAGCTGGCGATGTAGACGTGTGTGAAGGTGGCCATCAGGTACTGACAGTCGAATCGGTCCATGATGCCTCCGTGGCCCGGGATGGTGCTGGCAAAGTCCTGAAGGAAAGGAGAGAAAGGGCGAGAGATAAGGGCGGCGGTACCTGCAGGTGTGACAGGTTTGTGTGTTTCCCTTCAGAACATTACGTGTGTCCTGCTGCAGTTTTCAACCTGTGGTGTGACCAGGTGGAGACGTCTGCTGAGAGGTACTGATTACACAAACATTAAGTGGATCAGTTGTCTGAGAAATTACTTTTCCCAGCAGGGAGCCTTTAAACCAGCTGCTCCCACTGCGATGGGGGCCGCAGTGATGACTGTGAGAGGGATTACTTAAAGCAGAGCAGAGCTACCCGTCACTTTGGGGAAAATCTCTGCTCCTCTCTGAAATATTTAGATTACTCACTCAAACTGTCCGAGTCTGTGAGGTCCAGCTCAAAGCATTTCTTATGATTCAAACAAACTCTATGAAAATATATTGTGGAGCAGTGACTTCCTAAAAAGAGAGTGAAGTCAAACTCCCCTCTGTGTTTGTTGTTTTCAGCTCTGTGTTCACACAGACAGGACGGCACGGCCTTCAGCTTGTTTACGTTTCAGGGCGCACTCACAGTAGGACTCCGCGTTCCCCTGCTGGCTCACACTGCTCCAGGACAAACCGGGCCTGAGCACGGTTACCTCTTGTACATGACGTAATACAACTCATGCATGGCTTTACATGGTCATGAAGCATGGTTGCAAGAAAAGACAAAAAAAGTAGCAACGGAGCCGGACACACCGCAAAAACAAGGTGACGACTGCTCACTGTCGGTCCAACTAGAACTGACGGCTCAAGATCCCCTTG